CATATTGTCCTATCAATGTAACCCACGCTACAAGTATGCCGAAGCCAGACCTTCGGCGTGCACAAAAGTTGGATTCCGAGCTGAGTGGAGCCCCCGTCCCGCGTGCGAATGTAAGAGTTCCCGTCTCGGCTGGTGCAAACACAAAGACAAGCGCTTTGGACTGCATCGGTGTCGATTCCGTGACCTCACTCCAAATCATTGCACGATTTGCTCCGTTTCAGTGATTAAATGCAAAGTGTCACTGCCGCCCATTGATGGAACCAGCTACAAACCTGCTCACACGTCCTTGTTTACACCTGGCGCCACACTCAACGTCACATGTGGAGCTCGCCACTGGATTTCAACCACGCAACAGATCTCGGCGGTATCCACATGCAAAAACGACGGGAAATGGAGCATTAGACCAATATGTCAGGGTATGGTGAACACGCATGCTGGAGTCATTACAAATTATGGCTGTCAAGCCAAAAAGGAGTCATGATGATGATGATGATGATGAAGGTGATGCAGGACTCGAGACAAACGTTTTGCACTGGTGTGCCCAAATTTCCCACTGCATCACAGTCAACATTCCAGGCCGCCCAAATTGGTTTCCTGCCTCGAGCCTTGCGATGCTCATGATGTTATTGTCTTGATTAACGAATATCTCCAACGTGTGCTCTGCAGAGGTGACCTGCAGTAACCAAAGGGACCCCAGCGTATGGCGATGGGACATCTATTGGGGGCAGAGCGTAAGATTGGGTACTTCTGTTGACTTTACCTGTCGGTCAGGCTACAAGAGAACAAATGGCTCCCCAAAGGTCACATGCACCAGAGACGGGTGGAAACCAAATCCACCCTGCCAAGGTAAGGTGCAAGTGCACCGTTCACAGTTCCCGTGTTCGTCACGATGCTAAATTGTGTGTCAACCAAAAAGCTCTCTTCGGGATCTTTAGTCTTCTTTGCCTGCACAGTTTGTTGAGTTTTAAGAGTTTGAAATTGAGGATTCTCTCATTCACTGCTGTAATCTTTTTTCGTTTGTGTCCAAGTTTAATTGTCTTTTTCATATTACCCCTGCATTCTGCCTTGACCGCTTCCTTGCACTCGGGTCCGCCTGACTTTTGCCTGCAAGTCACCACGACAATCCCAATTTTGTGACTGACTAGTCCTGTATTTTGTTATTTTTACATTTGACATTCATGGTCATCAGAGGAGTCATAGAAACAAACGATGTCATCGAGCAATAACGAACTACATCTCTGTTTTTCTTCCCAGAAATAACATGTGACAGCAGGGATATCCAGAGTGCAAACATCGCTGACGGTGGCAAGCAAATATATAAAAATTATGAAACGGCCTATTTCACGTGCAAAGGTTCTCAAGACTGGTTTAGCCTAACTTGTTCTGAAAACGGCTGGCAGGGAAATGTGTATTGCCGAGGTAAGAAAGAACACTACAAATGTATTCATTTTTAATCTACGACTGCATGTTGAAAGGATGAGCTGTTTTTTTGTCAGTCCATTTGAAAGCTATTACTGTGCTTGTATATAACGCACACATTTGTATTTATTATCCCATTTTGCATGTATGTCAATTAATAGCAACCACGTAGACATTTTAATTACTGCACTTGATTATGTCAGGAAAAAGGTATAAACACCATGTTTCGAAGTACAGTACATATGCGTCGCTATTTGGACATCCCTAAGGGACTTGGAGCATAGACGTGAAAACTAAAAAGACATTCCAAACATTAACAATCAATATTTATAATAATCTGTTTGACACAAACATTAAATGAATAAACCAAGATAACATACCGTGTGGCCCTTGTAAACCGACAGTACATCAATTGAAAATACAGTAAACGAGACATTACGTTTCGTCTCTCCCTTCCGCAATCCCCCCAATTCCTTCGCGCCATCCGGCATACGTGACCCAAACCGGAAGTGAAGTGTTCTTTCAGAAAATATTAAAAATAATAATAATTTGATAATATTCAAAAGAAAAACACATACATCAAGGTATATATGGAAACAAATACACATTCATAAAATAATAAACTCAAACAGATTTTAGATGTTCTAGCAACCAAATGAAAACAACACTAGCACCAGCTACAGGTAGCTAACACCTGCCATGATCTCATCTCTGGACCTGTGCCTGCTTCAAAAGAGGGAATGGACCCAGCCTGTCCGATTAACTTCTTGTGACAAGCAATTATCCGAATACATCGGAGTCCCTAAAAAAATGTTTAAATGTTGAAGTCTACACTTCAAATCTGTTATGACAACGGAAATGAAAAAAAAAATTCACTGTCCAAACACTTCTGCAATACAACAGTATAGCGTGCTATTGTGATTATTCTCTTCTTCTCATTTTAATGGGGAGACAACACTCTAGTGGGCTACTTGTTAGCATGTCTGCTTGTAGTTCTGAGGTTTGAGGTTCCAATCTTGTCTCGGGCCTTCTTGCTTAACTTTTCTGTGGTTACTAGGGCCTCCTCCCACATTCCAAATACATGCATGTGATCTTAACAAAAATACTTTAAATTGGCCATAGGGTGTGAGTGGTTGTTGGCTCTACGGCCCTGCGCCCTGCAATTGGCTCTCTCTCAAAGCCAGCTGGGATCGGCTCCAGCTGACCTGTAACCCCAAAGAGAAGACGTGGCAAAGGAAATGGATGGATGGGTTTTAATACGAGCAAGATATCTAAAGTTTCTGTTTTATTCTATTCTGGGTGAAATCACGGGGTCAGATTATACTGCTTCATCTCAATAAATTTAAATACCCTGGAAATCTAAATGTATTCCTGTAGTTCAATTAAAATATGATATTACATTACTCTTACAGGAATAAATTATCAAAGTGGAATGTGGTAAGAGTAAAATATTGCATCCAAAAATATATATATATTTTCATGTTTATATCTTGAATCTAACAAAATTCCAATTGGACTATTTCAAGAAATTTATTTTTCCTCAAGGGAAAATAGATCACCAACCCAAATGTTTATGAAATATACAAATTAGGTAGGAAAAGTAGTTCCCTGGGTGTTTAATAAATTTGTATAATGAGTGACTTTCACTTTTTCAGTTGAACAACTGAAATCACACTTTTGTATAGATGTTTATTGAGGAACAGCAGCTTACGAGCTGAATTTAATTTGACAGTAAGCTTTGGTTTTGTTCATGGTTCCTGTAATGTACTCTACTGAGCTCATTTATTGAATCCAGTCGTGCCCTTGAGTGTTTTCCCCAACAAAGCCATTCTTAATGCGACGAGCGTGGCCAAAAGAGCAACTCAGATTCACGCATATTAGCATTTGACCGAATCAAACCATCTGACATGTCTTTCAGTCCGTGCATGCTCTACATGGACATTAGGAATTTTGTTCCTCGCTCCATATTAGCGATGCTCTACTGAACGCCCATGTGAATCGCAACAAAAAAAAGTGGCTTTGCACGGACGCAAATGCTGCTGAGCCTGGCATGAACAGTGTTTTCAACTTCCCATCGTGCACCCAAGGCCCTGCTGTGAAGGATGAAAACACATCAGTCTTGGCTGTGGTATTGAAAATTGTGTTCAGTTTTCATCCCGCTGAGCTTGATGTGTGGAATGTTTCGCTGCCCGAGGTGCGACTCTTCCGTATCAATGTTTTCAGATTTATCAATCCGCAAAGGATGAAGCCTGTAGGGATTTTGGCAGTGCAAGAGTCTGAGCCTACAGATCCAAAACAAAGAGTTAATTAGTCGAAGAACATTTGGTTATATGCACTTATTTTGTTCGTTTTCTTTTCGATACAAGTGTATTTACAATTTTACAGAATGATAAGATAGAACATGAACAAATATCCAGTTAAGTCCAGAAATATGTGAAAACAAATAAACAAATTTCCACCTAACGGTGGCCTCCTCAACCGACCACGACTTGGAAACCGACCACAGATAAATTGAAAATACAGTCAACAAGACTGTATCGTTGTTCGTTTTCTTTTCAATACAAGTGTATTTACAATTTTACAGAATGATAAGATAGAACATGAAAAAAATACCCAGTTAAGTCCAGAAACATGTGAAAACAAAGAAACAAATTTCCACCTGACGGTGGCCTCCTCATTTCCACTGAAACCTTGTCGGACTACATCTTGGTAGCGTTCTATTCCGGTCAAGAACAACGCCTCGTACTCGTACTGATGTCCACAATCGTTCGCTTCGGTTATGGAACACCGTGAAAACTAAAAAGACATTCCAAACACTAACAATAAACATTACAATAATCTGTTTGACACAACATTAAATGAGTAAACAGTGATAACATACCGTGTGCGACTTGTAAACCGACCATAGATAAATTGAAAATACAGTCAACAAAACGGTATCGTGCTCTCTCTCTCTCTCTCTCTCTCTCTCTCTCTCTCTCTCTCTCTCTCTCTCTCTCTCTCTCTCTCTCTCTCTCTCTCTCTCTCTCTCTCTCTCTCTCTCTCTCTCTCTCTCTCTCTCTCTCTCTCTCTCTCTCTCTCTCACTGATTCATTCGCGCGATCAGGCATACGTAAGCCGAAACCGGAAGTGATCTGTCAGAAAATGTTGCACATAATAAATTGAAAAGATTTAAAAGAAAAACATAAATATCAAAGTTTGGATGGAAACAAATACACATTCATAAAATAATAAACTCAAACAGATTTTAGATGTTCTAGCAACCAAATGAAAACAACACTAGCACCAGCTACAGGTAGCTTAATTGCTCGTCGACCGCTTAGTGGCGAAAATGTTGTCCTGTGCTCAGGTTTGATTTTGGAATGTACAAAATAATTAAGCGTCACAGCAACTAACAGCAGTGAAGCAGAAGGAGCGAATTAAAAAACAAGTGAGTGTTTCATACAACGCCACAATACGCCTGTTCCGACTTAATTCAGCAGACACTTTCAACCATTTTGAAGGAAGACGGTACCAACGTCTCCTACCAGGCCAACACATCAAAAGCCTCTGCATTCATTATGTAAAATGGCACAGCTGAGAGGGGACTGATCTACAAGTAAATGCAATGGGGCTAATATGGAAGAGCACTGTAGTTGATGTTATTAGGCTGCTGCAAAGCAACCACTGGCTGTAATTAGGGGAGCAGCAGGGGGTCCACAACACAACAGTATGCACCTATTAGTTGGGGCTCACAGGTAAACAGAGAACCTTTGCATATTTCACTTCACGTGTCAATTAAAACACGATACCTCCGAGTTGTTTTTCCCCCACTGGACTGGGGGCCTATTAAGTAAAAAAATGCCTCGTTGTACAAAACATCACTAACACCCTTCAGCCACCAGAGAGTGCCCTGATCTTGCATATCAAAAACAGTCATCAGTTTTGGTGGCAAAGTTACATTTTTTTAAAAAAGGGAACCAAGTAAAACAAAAAGTTCGATATGCTACACTTTTCCATAAACAGGAGGGTTGAGAAATGCATACTAATGGCTATTTCCTTATATTTTCTTTTTGTTTGTAAAGATATCGCGAAGTCACCGACTGACGTAAACATCCTTGTAGCTGTCAGCATTTTCACAAAAGCTGTCATAGGTTGTGCTGGCCTCTCGTGCAGTTATCCAGATTGTCCAAGAATCCCAAATCACTGCAATGCAAATTCCAATTGACCCCCCCCCCCCGGTTCCTATTCGTGCTCCTTGTTATGGAACACCGTGAAAACTAAAAAGACATTCCAAACACTAACAATAAACATTACAATAATCTGTTTGACACAACATTAAATGAGTAAACAGTGATAACATACCGTGTGCGACTTGTAAACCGACCATAGATAAATTGAAAATACAGTCAACAAAACGGTTTTAACGTGCATTAAAACACACACACACGCACACACGCACACCCCCCCCACACACACACACACATAGTGCATACGTCACACAATTGATTCTTTGGATGGAAACAAATACACATTCATAAAATAATAAACTCAAACAGATTTTAGAAGTCCTAGCAACCAAATGAAAACAACACTAGCACCAGCTACAGGTAGCTAACACCTGCCATGATCTCATCTCTGGACCTGTGCCTGCTTCAAAAGAGGGAATGGACCCAGCCTGTCCGATTAACTTCTTGTGACAAGCAATTATCCGAATACATCGGAGTCCCTAAAAAAATGTTGAAATGTTGAAGTCTACACTTCAAATCTGTTATGACAACGGAAATGAAAAAAAAAATTCACTGTCCAAACACTTCTGCAATACAACAGTATAGCGTGCTATTGTGATTATTCTCTTCTTCTCATTTTAATGGGGAGACAACACTCTAGTGGGCTACTTGTTAGCATGTCTGCCTTGTAGTTCTGAGGTTTGAGGTTCCAATCTTGTCTCGGGCCTTCTTGCTTGACTTTTCTGTGGTTACTCGGGCCTCCTCCCACATTCCAAATACATGCATGTGATCTTAACAAAAATACTTTAAATTGGCCATAGGGTGTGAGTGGTTGTTGGCTCTACGGCCCTGCGCCCTGCAATTGGCTCTCTCTCAAAGCCAGCTGGGATCGGCTCCAGCTGACCTGTAACCCCAAAGAGAAGACGTGGCAAAGGAAATGGATGGATGGGTTTTAATACGAGCAAGATATCTAAAGTTTCTGTTTTATTCTATTCTGGGTGAAATCACGGGGTCAGATTATACTGCTTCATCTCAATAAATTTAAATACCCTGGAAATCTAAATGTATTCCTGTAGTTCAATTAAAATATGATATTACATTACTCTTACAGGAATAAATTATCAAAGTGGAATGTGGTAAGAGTAAAATATTGCATCCAAGAATATATATATATTTTCATGTTTATATCTTGAATCTAACAAAATTCCAATTGGACTATTTCAAGAAATTTATTTTTCCTCAAGGGAAAATAGATCACCAACCCAAATGTTTATGAAATATACAAATTAGGTAGGAAAAGTAGTTCCCTGGGTGTTTAATAAATTTGTATAATGA